ACGGGAATTTTCTTGTAAATTGGGTTGTACTACGGTGACTTGTTGTTCAAGTCTTATTCTATGAATTCATATTTGACGCCCTTAAGTTTCAAGGCAATCTCAATTCTCCGGCTAAATGGACTAAACCACGTACCAAATAGTTTCACTTCTGCAATTTTACACCTTGAATTTCACCCTATATTTTCATTATGTGGGTTGAGCTCTTATAATGCCCCTATTTGGCCCACACTAAAATTATAATTTTATTTTCCATCTCTTCTTATCAACCACACATTCTCCAATAAAATAATTTTAATACAAAAATCCAAAAAAGTTTCTTCTTTTAACCACACATTTAAAAAAAAAAAAACACTATTTCAAAAATTATAATCTCAAATAATAGCAAATAATGGAGGACCAAACAATGGCTATATATGCAAAGGAAGCGTATAACTTGTTCGCCAAGAAACAACATTCAATAAATTAATACACTAACAATTTTTATTTTTATTTTTGTAATTTTATCAAGTAATCGATATTGATTGTAGTAGGTGTGAAGTGCTTGTTTATACTTTGCTTACTTACAATATATTTATATATAATATCGAACAAGTAATTTAATTGTACTTTTTCTCTCTTGAAAGCTGATGCATATGGTGATCTCACCAACATCCTTCTTCACTCTTTAGAATTAATTGATCTTTATCTCGAAGCCCTAAATCTCACGAACCTTCTACAAAAAAAGTTATACTATAAGGACAGATTTAATGACAAAGAGGACACGTGTCAATACATATTTGGACAGTTTGAAAAAAAAAAAAAATACGAGTCACCATTCACATGTTATAGTTCATAGGTCACATGTCACCAATCACAAATCATTGGTCATATTGTATATGTCACAGATGTTCATAGATCACTTGTTATAGTTCATAGGTCAATATTAATTGGTCAAAAGTCACCATTCATAGGTAACATATTATGTCTATAGATCACAGATCCTAAAGAATTGGTCGTATGCCATTGGAATAATATCAAAGGCAACATATCAATGTAAATTCAAGAGAACTGATCACATGCCACCGAGTTTTCTAAACTGGTCACAAATTCAATTAACTAGATTTCGACGATGAAAATTAAAATTATTTGATCTGTTAAGTACTCTGTAAATTACATCAGTGGCTATTTTCAATTCCAGTTTTAAAAAATATATTTAAATTACACCAATGCTGCTCAGTTGTGATATTCTTCAACGGTTGCTCTCTCTCTCTCTCTCTCTCTCTCTCTCTAATATCTAAGTTGATGATGATTCTTTGCAGCTGAACGACGATTAGTTCGCCGCTAAAGAAGATGTTTAGTCATCAACAAACTGTGTAGATTCTATCTTTCGCTTGGCAAAGTTATTTAGATGCCAGGGGGTAAATGTCGATGGTGGGTGAAAGCCGTCGACTGTAAAAAGGGATGGCGACAAAATAATATCGTAAATGATTGGAGAGAGATTGATATTATTATATATATAATTTTTAAT